GATCTCGTAAAGTATGGTGTGGACTATAATATTGCTATTGGAAATCATGCTGATTCGAGGGCTATGTCAATGAGTGGTAAGTAAAGAAAATATATTATTAAAAATTCATATGCTAAAATTAATATATGAATATTTGTTTTTAGAAAATGTAAGTGTTGTGGAGAGAATGCAGGTAGGCCCCAGTGCAATTAGTCCTAAACGTCGCAAACAATGTAACACCGACAATACGATTAAAAGTAAACGGGTAAAGGTGAAACGATTACTAGACATTACGACGAGCGGTTTTCATAAAACGGGTGAATCATTAAATAGTCAAATTTTATGGTTTTACAAAAAGAATATTGAAAATGTAGTCCGGTATCAAGCGTTTTTGTCGGCAACAAGAGGCGATTTAGTTGAAAAATTACGCGACTGTCTTAAAGAAATGGGCCCGATAAAATTCAACTTAAAACTGGAGGCGACTTATACTGTACTGAATAATGAAAACAAGTATGAAAATCGGTCATTTAAAACGTCGGCAGTCGAGTTAATTAACGAGGACGATATCGATCATGCTGTGGATATTTCATACACAAAATTATTAGAAGAACAGGAAAACTATGCTGGTAAAGGTAGTAATTTTTCGTTTTNAGAAGAACAGGAAAACTATGCTAGTAAAGGTAGTAATTTTTCGTTTCTAATATACAGAGTGATTTTTTTATCATAACCCACTCAATTACTTACAGAATAATAATAAATTAAAAAAATTTTTTTATTATTATCTTTAGTTACACATTATTCTTGAATTATAACTATGTAATACTTTTTAAGTTCATCCCTTAGGCCTGGCAAGGGTGTCAACTTTGTTTTTTTTAATGGTAACACATATTTTTAATTTAATAAAATGTTTGAGTTTTTAATTCAATAGTAAATGGCATTTGAATTTTTAATAAAACTTAATTTGTTTATTAGATATAAACATTTAAAGTTTCAAATTTTTGAATTAATATACAGGTATAATACACAAGGGATTACAAATATAGGTAGCTAATTGGATTTTTATGACATTGCTGTCTCAGTCACGGATTGTTTATTATCAATTATGATTATCAATAGATATACTTTCTGTATTGTCAGTTAGTGTATTTATAAACTCACAACAATGTGCCTTACTACAATTGATAATTTAGTCGATTGGTACAATCACAAATAACAAAGAATACAGCAAAAAGGATATTTTGTAAACGGTGTTTCACGGGCTTTAATAATG